AATTCTTTTCCCTTCTAGGGTCAGATTTTGGCTAATTTTAAAGCCATGGATTCTGATTGGTTTGCACAAAACTACATGGGTAGAAAAACCAAGGTAAGTTTCTGATTAAAAATATGCTTGAAGGGGACATGTGTAATACTTTCAACAGTAAAGATTTAAAAAATAAAAATATGCTTGAATTTCCAAAGCACTTTAATATTTGGAGCTTAGTTACCTGACAGTAAAAGTATGAGGTGGATAGCTTCTCCGATGAAGAATTTAGTGCTTCATTAAATAATGTTTCTTAGCTGTAAAATATTCCTGGAAATTCTTTAGAAAAAATAAAAAGCAAAATGTTACGTTGTTTTTTTTTAATTCTTCCCATTCTGATGTTAGATGAAAAAAAAAATACATAAATTTGGGGGTACTGAGATGAAATCTATGAAGACATTCCATCACAAAAAAATAAAAGAAAAAGAAATGTACCCTCGGCTTTCACAATTGACCTAGAATTTTTCTTTTGCAGTAAAATAATTTGTGATGCATCTTGTTAGTTATTTCCCTCTAGTTCTGTTGCTTCTTATTACTAAGGGCCTGGCCTGATGCTTATCTTAAGTAAACTCATTTTTGTTATATCTGTGTCTGTTTTCATATGACCAGGTTGGAGCTCCCCCCTTGGAGAAGTTCAATAACTGGGGGGGATCGCTGTCCCTGGGACACCCATTTGGAGCCACTGGCTGTCGGTTGGTCATGGCAGCTGCCAACAGATTACGGAAGGAAGGAGGCCAGTTTGGTTTGGTGGCTGCGTGTGCCGCTGGAGGACAGGTATATCACAGCAGCCTGACAGGAGTTTCTAGAAAGTCCTTTTCTTGAAAACCAAACAAGCTCATCTGAGACTGTCTGATTGAGTTTATTTAGAAACACTCTTAGAACAATATTTCTGATAGGCCACCAGAAAAAAAGCAAGCTGTTTTTGCAGGGAGGGGATACAGCTTTAATTCTGACAGTACTTTGGAAAGAAGATGCTATTTAAATCGAAGCTATTTTTTCCCTAAAGTAATGTCTACATTTTTTGTGTATAAAAGTAGTATGTGCTTATTATGACAATTATGGAAAATATAAAATATATATAGAAAAAATTAGATCACTTGTCATTCCCTCACCAGACATTCATTATTCACACTTTGATAGGTTTTCTTCTTTAATAATAAAATTTTATTTATTTATCTAGTCACTTCTCTATATGAGACTTAGCTATAAAATTTCTCCAAAGGTAAACTATCTTTCTTGAGAACTGAATAATACCTTAATTGGAGAATTAATTTACTTCTGGATAACTTAATGCTATTTAGCTGGGGGAGATGATATTATTCTACAGATTTTTTCTACCTGTTTTACTTGTAGTACAGAGGCAACTTCCTATCTGCTATAGCATTTCACTCTGGGAATAATATCCAAAAGGAAGGCTCCCTATAATCTTTTTTTTAAAACATGATCGAAACAGATTTGCTTTTCCTTCATATTATAGAAACTTCCTGTTGCTGATCAAGATGAAGAAATAAGATATGTTAAAGTATAAACTTTTTACATTTACAAGCCTTTATTTATGGCTTTCCTCCGAGACCTTGAAGAATCGAGGGGTCAGTTATTTATAGATTGGAACATTTTAGACTTCATGATCAAAAGCGTTTTGTAGTCTGTAACTTTTTTACCGAAAGCCATAGTCAGTTAGGGCCGGAGCCCTCCCTCTTATCTTCTGTGCCAGGCTTACCTGAGGAAGAGAGCACAGCACTGTGCGGAGTGCATAGTTCAAGTAGGTTAATGTCCTTTGGTTTCAGTATCTGTCCCCTAGCTTCTTATCTCACACAGAGAGTATGAGTAACACAACACTAGATGCTTTTGTGGATGAACAAACCCTCTAGAAGTTTACAGCATAAGGAGAAAGATGATGCATCTTAGAAACTAAATTCGGCATTGTTTCATCCAGGGCAAATGAGTGAGATAAGCATGATTCGATCAGAGGAGGAATCCGTCCTTGTGGATCTAGAACAGGGTTTCAGCTTCAGCAGCATGTAGAAACATTGTGGACCAGATCATTCTTTGTTGTGGGAAGTATGCTATGTGTTGTAGGATGTTTAGCATGGTCTCTACCCACTAGATAGCAGTAGCAACATCCCCTGCCCCATGTACACACAGTTGGGACAACCAAAAACATCTCCAGACATTGCCAAATGTCCTCTGGGAAGGGAAGGAGCAAAACGCCTCCAGTCGAGAACCACTGATGTAGAGCAATCTGAAAGATTGGGGACGTGAAAGCAATGCATTTTAAATAAAGCTGGAGAAGGAAATTTCTGCCTTATCATGAGCCCCTCAAGGGTAACGCCAGCTAGTCAAATCTTTCCATCCCTGTTCCTTTTTGTTTCCTTGTCCCTGTATCAAGGTACTTGGTTTGGTTTGAATTATAGTGTGTAATAAATTGAGGACAGGCACCATGTAGCAAAGCCTTGTACACACCGTGTGCAGCTTAGAAACAATAGTTTCTTAATAAATATTGTTGGGGATTGAACCAAGTAGCCCAGCAGTTGTTAGGCTATTAAGTGGTTTGATCCCAGTCCAACAATAGACTGGCTGTGATTATCAGATAGGATTTAGACTCATGAAACTATAAGTTTCTATGCATGGTTTCAACTAGGGAGGTAACTAGTGCACAGCACCATGCATAGTGCTTCTTACCTTGTGGCCCTTCACCTGAGTAGGACAGGGACGAAGAGTCTTTGGATCCATCTAGAACTGGTTTCAAATCCTGGCCCTATTATTTTATAGTGTTGTAGGTTTACTTATTTTTTTAAAATTATATTTTTATTGATTTCAGAGAGGAAGGGAGAAGGAGAGAGAGAAACATCAATGATCCACTGGGGATTGAGCCCGCAACCTGGGCACATGCCCTAACCGGGAACCAAACCCTGACCCCCTGGTTCATAGGTTGACACTCAACCGCTGAGCCATGCCGGCCAGACAGTGTTGTAGATTTAGATGAGCAACTTAACCTTTCAAAGCCTCAGTTTTCTAATCTAGAAATTTACTGTTGTTGGCATTCATTGTATTATGTTTATTTTTATACAGCTAAAAACTCCTGTGACTTCTCATTTTAATAGCAGTCACTTATGGAGCATCTACTAGGAATCAGACTCTACTAGACAGACTCTGATGTGTGTATGTGTACATGTATATATGTATGTATGTATAGAATTGTGTGTGTGTGTGTGTGTATTATATGCTATCTAATTTAATGCTCACAAAAGCACTAGGAAGTAGGCAGCATGATCCATTCTATAGATGAACTTGAGGTTCAGAATGGCTATCCCAAGATTGCCCGGCATTTAAATGGCAGAGCCAACCTCAAACTCCAAAGCCTGTACTTTTCCCATCGTTCTCTGCTGCCTCTGTACAGCTGGATTTATTGTTCATTTTTCTAACTGAACTTATTCTTCCTTCACAGGGCCATGCTATGATAGTGGAAGCTTATCCAAAATAATAGATCAAGAAGCAGCGACCTGGAGTTTTTGTGCGACACTCAACATGAGGCAATGCCATTTCAATGCATTACTGAATGACACCTAGAGTTCCTAGCTCCTCTTAAGAAAACAATATTTGTGGCCTTCTGTTAAGTGCTTTGCAATTAAGCCTTGCCAGTGCTCTGAGCTTTCCAGTAATATGGCTTATACTCCTTCAGGGATTTCTTAATCACCAGACTCTCACACGGGATATATTTAAGCATTTGTTTTTGGGCCGTGTTTTCATTAAAGACTGAACAAGTGGTAATTTGGAAAAGAGGTTAGTTAAGATTTGGAATCATTTTTGTAACATTTGCAAATTATACTCATTCCTATTCCTAAAGCTAAGTGTTTTCTATAAAATACCAATGTGCCTATATTGACTTAATTATGGAAAGATAATTCAGAATATAAACATGACTGAAAACTTACAGTAAATGTTCAGGTACTTTAAATACTATGTTGGTTAACCTTAATAAAGTGGAGAGGTATTGGAGAACTGTTTGCCTTATTTTTTATTGAGAAAAAAGTTGGTTTTCTTGGCTTAGGGGCAGATTTTTGCCTTTGATTCCTCATTTGTAACTTCTATTTTAGTCAACCATGAGGCTATTAGGAACATAAAGAGGATTCTACTTTAGAATAATACTCCCCACCCCCACTCCATTGCTGAATTGAAGTAAATTTATTTCACTATTAGAAGATACTTCTGTTTGCCAAGATTTAAGTAAAGTGAAAAGAAATTTTAAATTTTTGATCAACATCCTAAAAATCCTTTGTTTTTTGACAACCAAACTACACTAAATAACATGTTTACTAGTGCTTTGAAGGAGCAAAAGTCTAAATTGCAACCTTTATGTGAATGTTGCTTAGGTCTATGAAAGTCACTGGCAATCAGAGGCATCCTCTAGTGCAGAGACGGATTGGGCAAGGGAGTAAGTGCTAACCTCTTAAAAGAGCATTTAAGAGTTCCAGCATCATTCCGCCCGTGATTTCATTGGTAATTTCAACATAATGTGAAATTTTATTACTGAAAACCTTTATATTTACATACATATTGCAAAAATCAATTATAAATAAGTTAAATATAAAAAAACTTACTAAAATTTAGAAAAAAATACCATTATGACCTTAGATTGGGATTTTTTTTTCTGTTTAAAACAATTGGACCTCTTTTATTTTTTAAATTTATCTTTATTGTTGAAAGTATTAGTGATATTTTTCCTCATTGACCCCCTCGGCCCTCCCATTCCTGGAGGATTTCTTAAGACATTTAAGTGCTATCATAAAAGAGCTATAAATGTCAAATAAAAACTTTTGTATTTTATAAGATAGAGTGGAAAGACAAGCCAGAAGTGGGGCAAAGATAATGATGTACCTTATGAAAGATGTATCTTATGAAAGATATATCTCATGTATATGTCATATATGATAGAGATGTAGCTTACAAAGGATACAGGATATATAGAGAATTATTTTATGGAACGCTCATGAATGTGTGTGTCATCCTTGCTCAGGGGCCGTGTTAATCTCTATTGTTCCAATTTTAGTATATGTGCTGCTGAAGCAAGCACTAGAAAGAATTCTTATAATCAAGAAGAAAGAACGCAGTAAAAAATGGCAAAAGATATTAACAGGTATTTTTTAGAAAATGTACAAATGGAGAATAAACATGAAAAGATGCTCATTGGTAATTTAGAAAAACCAAATTAAGGTCATAATAGGATATCATTTTATGCCTACCAGACCGGCAAAAATGAGTAAGACGAAGACTACCAAGTGTTGGTGAGGATGTGGAACAATGGGAACTTTTATACACTGCTGGTGAGAATGCAAATCGATACAACACTTGGGAAAACAGTCTGGCACTGGCTTGTACATTTGACTATAACACACGGTCTATAACCCAGCATTTCTACTCTTAGGTATCTTTCCTACAGAACTTCGCACATGACTAGTAGCAGGAGATAGCAGCAAAATATTGTAAATAATGTTCATGGACAGACAAGTTTCAAAAACAAGCAAAACTAAGTACATTCCTGGGATTAATTCGTAAAGAATTCCAAATAATATATGTAGACACCATGCTCAAGTAGGGAGCATGTTCCTCCCTACTTGAATGTGGGCTGGACTCAGTCACTCAATTCCAGTGACTAGAGTGTGAAAAGGAAAACAATTGCCCCCCCTCCCCCGCCCCAGTGGAGAAACATGGCAAGCACCAGTTTAACTGAGTGCCTAGGTCAACATTATCAGCACCGTCATGTGCTATCGCATACCTCCTGGTATGATGCAATCAAGGGGCCGCTTCACCTCAGTGGTATTCTCTCCAAATACCTCTAACCCAGTTGAATTTAGAAAACATCTTGACCTTACTCAGAACGACCCAAGGTCATGAAAAGTAAGAATGCTGAGATCCGGTCACACACCAGAGGGGGCTAAGGAGACATGACAACTAAATGTGAAGTTTCTTGGGCTGTATTCTGAACTAGAAAAAGGACATTAATGGAAAAGCTGATGAAATCTGAGTAAATCTGGAGTTAATAGTTTTGTGTGTGTGTGTGTTTTTTTTAAAAGCCTCACATGTATGGTCAAATTATTTTTTGACAAGACTGTCAAAACTAACGAGGTAAGAACAGTTGTCAAGTCATGTTGGGCAAGTTGTATATCCACCTGCAAAAGAATGAAGTTGGACTCCCACCTTTCACCATATCCAAAAATTAACTCAAAATGGATCAAAGACCTAAATGTCAGAGTAAAACTTATATAACTCTTAAAAGAAAATGGGAAAAGCTACATGACATCAGAATTGTTGGACATGACACCAAAAACACGGGAAAGAAAGGAAGAAAATAGATAAATTAAAAATTAATAATTGCGTCAAAGGATGGAGTGAAAAGGCAACCTTTGGAGTAGAAAATATTTGCAAATCATATTTTCAATAAGGGGTTAATATCCAGAATATATAAAGAAAATCTACAATTTAACAACCTGAAAATTCAATTTTCAAATGGGCAAGGAATTTGAATAGACATTTCTGCTAAGAAGATAACTTTCTACTAATGGAATTGCCTCTAAATCTCATAGTTACTTCCAGCGCCTTCTTTTTTAGTCCGTTGTGGTTTTCTTTTTTTTCCTTTTTTTTTAATGAGAGAACCAAGTGAACAAAGGCTTCATGTCATTTCATTTATGGACTCTAAAGTGTTTTTACACTCTACAGCAAAGCATAGATTGAGTATGTGCAATTGTTTGAGAAGGAAAATGAAAACATATTTCTACAAAGCATACTCAGAAAAGGAGTCTCTGCTGCTTTTAAAATGTAATATTTGAATTGTTTAAAAAAATTTATAATTCAATCAAGATTATAAATACTAATGAAGTGATAGTGACATTGAGACATGTTACCCGGGAAACCAGCAAGGCAAAGTCTTCACTGTTTCAGTGGCTGCCTGCCTCCCTGGGGGCTGAAACAGAACTGAGGCATAGAAACACCGCAACTGTCCTGGTGAGTTGGTATCTTCTATTGAAAGAATAATCAAATCCACTTTGGCCAGTTCATACACAATTAAAACATTCACGCACACAAAAAACATGCACACAAATAATGTTTATTTTAAAATGTGTTCAACAGCATGTGGTACTCATTTTTATTTCAGCAGAAAATGTCTCTTCCATTTTATAAAAATATTCATGAAATTTGTAATTTACACATTCATTTATCAACATTTTTTTTCATTTATCTAGTTTAACATTTTTTTCTGAATCCTGTCATTACCGCTTGTGAATTCCATACATTAATTCCGCTTGATGTCTTGGTGTCTCCTAGAGGCTTTTCTGAAATCTTTCTTCTCTATGTCTAGTATTAGCTTGATCCTGCCACTTTTAAATGTGTTTCATCTTGTCTTCGTAATTTGTGGCAGTCTGTGATACCTTTCTCTCTACTCTAAAATTTCTGGTGCTTTCTTACAAATATGCTCATATTAGTGACTTTTTGTATACATGTGTATGTGTACAAAAATTTTACATTAATATTTTTGAAAGTTAAAGAAGGAGGTCTCATTAACTTCACTTTTCCTAAACTTTGAAAATAAGCAAACCAAATTCTGCCCTTCACCTCTTAATGTTCGGAAGATCAGAGTTCCTGTCAATTAAGTCATCTTTTCTTCATAACTGTAGAGAAGAAATAATCAGAAATCACTGACTAGTTCAAACCATTTTTATCAACGATGTCTGTAACATAAACAGTTGACTAGTTAAAAATTGGTTGAGACAGTTTTACTTGCAATTATTTTGAACTTTGTTATCTTCATTATTTTTACAGCAAAGGCAGCTTTGTTCATTTGATAGCTTCAACTAGTTTTTCCTGCTATTCTTGCTTGGGTAGGGGTGGGGACAGATGAGTGCAAGAGAAATGAGTGTGACTAATGGGAGCATAGCCTGTCTTTTGGGAGGGCTGAATTCTGGGAGCGGGGAAGGGTGCAGGGCATTGGACGAAGGCCCATCCTGGTGGATTCAAGCACACACCCTACGCTCCCCTGGAGGAACACGGGTTCTGTGTGGGTCTCTCAAAACTCTTGCCTTCCCCACCAGAGCGTGCCCTGTCGCCGGGGGGGGGGGGGGGGGCTGGTGGGAGGAGACCTTGCCCACTTTTGCAGATTGCCCTCCCTTCTGGACACCACGCTCACCAATGGCAATTCCTTGAAAACAAGGATTTTTCAGGATAATTAAACATTTGATAGTGTGAGAGGGAATCTTCAGGGTGAACTGAGGCAGGGGTTGTTGGTGGTCAAACTCCCGGCAGCTTTCTGGGAAAGCAATAGTAGATGCCACAATTTCTGCTCTACGGCCTTCACCTTCCTAGCTCATCTAGAAACGTCTACCCTGGCAAAGTCTGTTCCCCTCCCTTTGGGCTGGAGCAGGTGTGGGGGGCTTTCTGTCAAGAGCTTGGCCAGGAAGCCGCTCACTCCGTTCCCAAGACACTTCATCCTCACCTGGCATTGTCACTTCTCCCTCTGCTGGGTTCCGGGAGGTGGCTTTCATTTGTGGCCTGGGAAGGGGCGGAAAGGCCCAATTGCAGGGCGATGATTATGATTGCTGACTCTCCTTTAACGAGGTTGTGTCCCTTTTCACACCCTCACCTGCCCTCCTGCCGGGACCACAGTAATCCTAGGAACTTTGCTCGCAGCTACAGTGATGCCCATGCACACCGATCCTAGCTTTTCCCTTCACATAGCAACGGGAGGCAGATTTTCAGATGGAGAAACCAGGGACGAGAGAGTCACCAGGCGTCCAGGTTGTAATCAGGGGCCCAAGAACCTGACTTTTCTGACAGGGCTGCTGTCTGCATTGTGGAGAGCTTGAACCCGGAACCACGCTCAATCTAGAAAACAACCCCATCTTCTCTCAGCTCCTAGTTGTGCCCATCTCCTCTAGGTAGGCTGCGGACCTCCTGCTTCTGACCTGCTCTCCGGGGCGGTGGTGTGCGGGGGGGGGGGGGGGGGGGCGGGGGGGGGCGGCGGCGAGAACTAAGGATTTGACTCACCAGGGAGATGGTGGAGTTGGGGGGCTGGGCACAGCCGAAGCGTTTGAGTAAAGCCTCTTGTACCTGCAGGAGAGAGAAATGCCTGGCTATTGCAGCCAAAGTCCCTGCCTTCGGATGTGAGTCAGGCGGGGATTCGGTGGGCAGACTCACTTTCTTGTCCATCAGGCAACCAAACAGCAAAATGAAGACACCCTGAAAAGAGGGATATGGGGATGAGGGAGTCAGCGAGGAAGGAATCAGCCGTTCCTCTCCTCTTCGTGCCCCTCCCTCCTCTTGTCCATCGGTGCTGAGGCCCCACCTCGGGCTTTGTACCTCAGCACCATTGCTGTGCAGGGCCTTTCAGTGCTTTTCTTACTGCGCACGGTGCAGAGGATGGGGAACTGACAATCCCCCGACTTCTCTGGCAAAACCAGACATTATTTTACAGATAAGAAAACCAAAGCTCAGAGAGGTTTGTCCCAAGTTATCCAGCGAGGAGGAGCTGGGGTCCAAACCTCCGCCTTCTAAAACTCCCCAGCTATGTTTCTTCTGCCCCATCATGATGCCACCCTGAGAAGGGAGTGGCAGTGACTTAGAGCATCTAAAATGGCAGCGAGCACAGCCACTCACCTGGCAGGTGTTGAGAATCGTGAAGATGTAGTGAGGGACTATGGAGACTTCCTCGAGCAGAGTGGCCAGGCCCAGCCCCCAGGTGAGGCCGAAGATGGGTGTGAGAATGAGCAGGGCTTTCATCACCCCCAGAAGGGCTTGGCGCTTCTCCGCCTGGGGTCCCTCTGACAGCGACGGTCTCAACAGCTTCAGCATGGCCATGGCTAGTACCAGCCCGTTCAGGCCCACGATGACCAGCACCGGTCCCACGAAGGTGTAGCGCGCCCCTCCCTTCCCATCCAACCAGCACACCCCCTCCTCCAGGTATTGCCCTCGGGGTAGGTAGAGGCCCAGGGCGGCCCCTGCAAACCCCATCGGGCACAGGTAGCCGAGAACCACCATCAGGGAGAGGACTCGGCGCTTGGACAGCTGATGGAAGACAAAAAG